TGAAATTTGCTCTCTGTGAAAGAGAGTTTTCTCTCCATGTGACTCTCCTTAGGTACACTCTACGTCATTGATCACTTTACTCTGTGGTCCCATAATCTACTTAGTCAGAAAATTTGGGACACAAGTGAGTTACAGGATGTTACAGTACAGGTTCTCCTATATCCTGAGCCTTCACTGACCTTGAAGGCTAGGGCCAAAATGTTAGCTGTCCTTGCAGCCCTTCTTTTTCTCTAATTTTTCGTCTGCAAACTTAGGTTGTTAACCCTCCAGAAGAGAAGCTTATTATTATTACCCTACAACACAGGCAGATGACCTTCACCTCACTATCTGTCTGAATATCAAATATCTTAGGCATAACATGGAACAGGCATTTTTCCATCAACAATTGATATGTTAAGCTTTAAGTCCAGAAAGAATATGAAAAAAACATTAAAAAATAAAAATTAAAAAATATATATTTAAAAATAAGAATAAACAGTTACATATTTTTGCACAACAATTTAGAAATCTGGGGCCGGGGAGATGGTGCAGTAGAATAAGCGCTTCCCTGGCAAGCTCAAGGGCCTGAGTTCAATCCCCAGTTCAGCAAAAATCTAACCATATACAGTTTTGTAGCAGGACAGTCCTGTGACGATCCCCGACGCCGCATCCATTCCCCCACAACCCCCCCCCCACGACACGAAGGGGACACCTCCCTGGCTTCTCGAGGGAAAGCAGAGAAGAAAAGCAGATTGGGTGAGGGGAGAGAAGCCTGCACGGAGTCCTCCAACCACAAGCTCCCATCTTTCCATTTAATGATCCTTCCGCAGGTTCACCTACGGAAACCTTGTTACGACTTTTACTTCCTCTAGATAGTCAAGTTCGACAGTCATCTCAGCACTCCGCCAGGGCCATAGGCGGACCGGGCAGGGTTGATCCGAGGGACTCACTAAACCATCCAAACCGTAGTAGCGATGGGCGGTGTGTACAAAGGGCAGGGACTTAATCAACGCAAGCTTATGACCCGCACTTACTGGGAATTCCTCCTTCATGGGGAATAACTGCAATCCCCAATTCCCATCACAAATGGAGTTCAAGGGTTACCTGCCCCTGCGGCGTAGGGTAGGAACACACGAGCCTGTCAGTGTAGTGTGCGTGCAGCCCGGGACATCTAAGGGCATCACAGACCTTAGATGCTCAATCCCGGGTAGCTGAAGGCCACTTGTCCCTCTAAGAAGTTGGGAGACGCCGAGTGCTCGGGGGTCGCATAACTAGTTAGCATGCCAGTCTCCTTCGTTATCGGAATTAACCAGACAAATCGCTCCACCAACTAAGAAGGGCCATGCACCACCACCCACGGAATCCAGAAAGAGCTATCAAGCTGTCAATCCCGTCCGTGTCCAGGCCGGGTAAGGTTTCCTGTGTTGAGTCAAATTAAACCGCAGGCTCCACTCCTGGTGGTGGCCCTCTGTCAGTTCCTTTAATTTTCAGTTTCGCAACCATACTCCCCCTCCCTCCCCCGGAACCGAAAGACTTTGGTTTCCCAGAAACTGCCTGGCGGGTGAAGGGAATAACGCCACTGCATCTCCAGTCGGCATCGTTTATGGTCGGAACTATGATCGTCTTCGAACCTCCGACTTTTGTTCTTGATTAATGAAAACTTTCTTGGCAAATGCTTTTGCTCTGTTCCCTCTTGAGCCGGTCCAAGAATTTCACCTCTAGCGGAGCAATACCAAGGCCCCCGGGCGTCCCTCTTAATCATGGCCTCAGTTCCGAAAACCAACAAAATAGAACCGCGGTCCTATTCCATTATTCCTAGCTGCGGTATCCAGGCGGCTCGGGCCTGCTTTAAACACTCTAATTTTTTCAAAATAAACGCTTCGGGCCCCGCTGGACACTCAGCTAAGAGCATCCAGAGGGCGCCGAGAGGCAAGGGTCTGGGCAGACGCCAGCCTGCTCCCAAGATCCAACTGCGAACTTTTTTTTTTCCGAACTTTTTAACTGTAGCAACTTCAACATACGCTATTGGAGCTGGAATTACCGCGGCTGCTGGTACCAGACTTGCCCTCCAATGGGTCCTCGTTAAAGGATTTAAAGTGGACTCATTCCAATTACAGGGCCTTGAAAGAAAGGGTATTGTAATTTTTTCCTCACTACCTCCCCAGGTCTGGAGTGGGTATTTTGCGCGCCTGCTGCCTTCCTTGGATGTGGTAGCCGTTTCTCAGGCTCCCTCTCTGGAATCGAACCCTGATTTCCCGTCACCCGTGGTCACCATGGTAGGCACGGCAACTACCATCGTTGATGGGCAGACTTTCAAACGGGTCGTCGCCGTGAGGGGGGCGTGCGATCGGCCCGAGGTTATCTACAGTCACCAAACCCGCCGGGGCCGGGAGGGAGCTGACCCGGTTGGTTTTGATCTGATAAATGCACGCATCCCCCCGCCCCCGCGAAGGGGGTCAGCGCCAGTCAGCATGTATTAGCTCTAGAATTACCACAGTTATCCAAATAGGAGAGGAGCGAGCGACCAGAGGAACCATAACTGATTTAATGAGCCATTGGCAGTTTCACTGTACCAGCGGTGCGTACTTAGACATTCATGGCTTAATCTTTGAGACAAACATATGCTACTGGCAGGGTCAACCAGATAGGAGCACGGTGAGCCAGGCGGGCAGACCGAAGGGAGGAGCCCTGGGAGGGAAGAGGAGTCGAGACAACAGCGGCGGACCCGGGGGAGAAGAGAGAAGGCCGCGGGGAGAAGAGGCGGGAGGGGGAAGAAGAGAACCGGCGGGCAGGCAGAGGGACGGACCAGACGCACCATACCGAGGGAGCTCAGAGCCTCCTCCACGCGTGACACCGGCCGATCCCGCCAAAGCCGCGAACGCGGGCATGCGAGAGACGGCACGCTGGGATCCTGGGGCAGAGGGCGCGCACGCGGCCCCCGCCTCACGGCCGGCGAGGCCCTAACTCACTCGGCCACCTGCAGCGGCGCCGCGGGCATGGGAGCACGAGAGCGCAGGAGAGAGATGGAAAGCCGGGAACCCGACCGGAGACCGCCCGCCACCCTGCCCTGCCGCAGCGACAACCTCGCCAACCCCGTCGCGGGGGCAGAAAGCGAAGACGCGGACCGCGACGGGATGGGGAAAGGCGGTCGACCGGGGTCCAAGCCCAAGCAACTCACCAGAGCGCGCGTGCACGCCACGGACGAACGGAACCGGCGGGGAAGGCTGGCGAGCGACTGACCAACCCCAACACCGCGGCGAGAAACAACGCGTCGTCCACCACACCCAGCACCGAAGGCGTGGCTGCCCCCGGCTAGCCGCACAGCGGAAGCGGGTCCAGGCGGCCACAGCGGGTTCCGCCCACACCCGCGAGACCACAGCAGCTATACGACACCGGGATAAGAGCAGAGCCCGGGCTGGAGAGCCGGGCCACGCGGGAGGTCCGGCACTGAGACGGCGGCAGCCGCCAACGGGAGGCCAGGAAGCATCTTGGGGCGCTCCGGCCGGGCCCGAACCGGGGCATGTGCTGGGTTCTCATCGCCAGCACCCTTCTGGACACGGTGGCAGTCCCGCTGACACCCTGAGCCGAGGCACACGGCAGGTCGTGCCCCAGACGAGAGCCTGGGGTACACCTCCACGGGGGCCGTGATCCACTCGCCCGCCGAGTCGCGGAGATGGCCACTCCGGCCAAACGGCTCCCCCTGCAACACCAGCTGACCGTCCCACAGCCTTCCCGCCCGCCGAGCACGCCCCGGCGCCCAGGACCCGGGTGAGCCGGGGCTGGAGCAGAGCTGTGCGACGGGCCTAGGCAGCCCGGGGAGGGCCAACCGATAGCGAGGAGTAGGGAGACGCTAGCGGAACGGCAGGGGCCGCCAGACAAGGCGAGGTGATCCGGACACTCGTGGGAGAGCTTACAGGGACAGGCTTCGGGATCTGGGTCCGGCCACCAAGGAAAACCAAGCGGGAGCCCTCAGCCCCGCGACGCCTGTAAGGCCGAGACGACAAAGTCTCCGATCGACTCCCAGAGCTCCCAAAGGAAACCCAGGCCACACCGCCGCGGCCAGGGACCCCCACCCCCACCCCCACATACACACGCGACTCAGACAGAAGGCAAAGACGTCCTATAAGCCGAGCAGCAACCGCCGTCCTGGCCGGCCACGTTCGCGGGCGCCAGCCTCCAGCCCGACCCGCCCGCCGTCCTGCTGGGAACGCTCCCGCGGGGAAACACTGGGAAGGCCGGGCTGCCCTAAGTCCCCGCACTCACACTCGTGTCACTGTCTGCGCGGGTCGAGTTGCTGGACCGGATGGGAGGGGCCAACGAGCGGACCCCCCCGGGGGGGCGGGGAGGAGGCGGGCTTGAGGGGCGCACGCACCCCAACCCCGGAAAGATGAGCCGCGCCTGCGCGCATGGACCGCACCTTCTCCCGCACAAACACTTAACGGGCGCCCGCCGGCCAGGCGGTACCCTCCCTCGACTCGGAGGGGATAGGCGCAGGCCGGGGTCTTAGGTCGAGAGCGAGCGTTGGGTCCCCACAGCGGGACCGGCGGACCCCTCCTTCCCAGAACCGAGTCAGGGAGACGGGCAGCCCTCACCCACACAGGCACTGACACAGACGGCCGCAACGCGGCATGGCGACGGCTACCGCACAGAGAACGAAAGGCAGATCGCCGTGCAGCGGTGGGTTCTACGCTACGCGTGGAGGATCGCGGAGGCATCTTGAGCGTCCGCGGCCGGGAACTAGAGGGCCGGCGCACAGCACGGGTTGGGCTCCCCGGCTCATCTCGCTTAATGGCGAGACAGAACGGTGGCCTCTCCCTTAACGGGAGAGACGAAGCAGCAGCCAGCGACAGACTACCTCCCGTCGCCGGTGGACCCACCGCGATCGCTCGCACGCCCACGAGCGCCCCAGCAGGGGGGATACGCACACGCGGGCGCGCACTCGGCCCTTTCTCGGGACAGGACATCACCCCGCTCCCGCCACGGCGGGAGTCTCCGTACTGATTTCCATAATCTCCCTCCTCTCACCTCCTCAAACTCCCCGGGAGCAGGATTTCCGACACGCGGGCAACAACCACAGACGGCAGGCAGCCCCCCAGACGGGGAGATACCCGAACACAGGAACAGCGGCAACCCTCAGTCTCAGGAACCTGGGCAGACAACCTGGAGCTCTCCAAGAGCGCTGCAGAAGGCCGGATCACTCTAGGCTTCTGGGAGGCAAACAGGAGGCCACGCCCACAAGCCACCCAAAAAGGGGCGAGCGAGGGATATCACGCCACGTCAAATGACCATACAGCCACCTCCCCAGCAACCAGGACTAGGAGAGAGGCGCAAAGTCGGCCGAATTCCCGCACCCTGCCTTCCACACACCAGCCCGAGGGGCGGGGCAAAGGACAGAAGGAGAAGAGCAGTGCCATTCTCCATGAATGTCAGTCCCTAGCCTGCCGCAGCTTAGGCGGGGCCAAGGAGAGCACTCGCCACCACATGGGTCACACACTGAGTATATCCTCAAGTGAAATCCATTTAATTATAAATGCTTCTTTTTTTGTTGTTGTTCTGAATATGTACTATTTATTTTTTTTTACTAATTTTATTGAGAAACAAATATCTTTTGAGTTCTTATACTAGGGAAACTATACGATATTTACACATGTGTGTCTGGTTTATTTCACTTATGAGTATATGTTCAAGTGGCATCCACTTCACTGTAAAGGCTT